GGTTAACAAACGTAAAAACACCTCAAGGAATTAATTTAATTAGCACATATATACTTTAACCTTTAAAAAAAAAAAAAGGGTACTATTTTAGATTCACACACTCTAACTAAGTAGGGTTAGATGTGATGAACGAAGAAAAAGAAGTTAAAATATATATGTTATTATCTTGTGACATACCTAACAAAACAATATTATAAAGTGCTTGTTTGGGTGAGCTAAAAAGCTTATTTGATGAAAAAAAGAAAAAGAAAAAAGAGAGTGACAGATTCAATTAAATGAATGGTGAAAAAGTTGATAGTAATTGTGAGTCCTATGTAATATAGTGAAAATTAATTAATGACTTTAACCTCAAATTTTAAGCAACGTTTATAGCTCTTTCAAACAAGTTATAAGAAAAGAAAAGAAGTTACAATCTTGTAAATGAAGCCGTGCATACCACATAGTGCCCTTTTAGCTTGTTTGGTAAGGCACACTAGACAAGATTAAGCCCCTGTTTGGCCCCCATTACGGGGAAAATTTAATGTATAGAATAGTGTTTTTTGAAAAATGAGTGGTTGAAAAAGAAAGAAAAATTTTCGATTTACGTGTAATATTATTTTATGGAAGATTGTATGGTTGAAAATAGGAGAGAGAAAAAGTAGAATGTAATGTAATGTAATTTAATGAAAATCAAACAAGGGCTAAGGTAGCACTCAAAATTCAAATATCATCCGTTGTAGTGAATATGGTATCGTGCATTATTGTATACAGAACATGCAATGTACGTATTAACTAACGTTACCTTCCGAGCATCATAACAGTAGCTTGAGGATTTGTTCCAGGAGAGTAATTAAAGGTGGATCCATCAATAACTCTCAAAGCATCTACTCCAAGAACCTTATAATCTGGATCAACCACTCTCCCAACTTGACACCCTCCATGATAATGCCATATAGTCATCACAGTATCCTTACAAAACTGCTCCAATGAAGTTGAAGCATTGGCATGTTTGGGAAGCAAATTCACAGGTGCATTGACTGTCAAGTTAAGAAGAAAAGGCAGTGACAGAAAATCATATTTGAACTCGGAAAATGACTTTGATTCAACCACATTTTCAATTATTTTGAACCCATCTATACATCTTTGCAAATCTTGTGGTTCTTTGAAGTAATTGAATGTGACTGATGGATTATCATTAGGGTTCTTGCTTCTGAGGAGTAAATTTCCTGTGGAGATTGGGCCAATGATTTTTTCTAAGATGAATCCACCTATAAATGCTTCAGGCTCAAGTTGTTGCATAGCATCAATGGCTTTGGCTAGAGCATCTGGGGTTCTTTCCTTTGGTGGAACTGTTGATAATTGCCCAATCTGCAAATTAGGGTTCAAAAAATTAGACATTAATATTGCCCTGTGCATGAAAAAAGAGAATTTAAAATTATTATGCATGGAAGGCTTTTGAAAAAAGTTTCAAATAAATTCTTAAATTCATTTAGATAACATATGCTAGACTAGACTCGTTTGCAGTACGAATACTGATCCCGTATTACGGTGGCTAGCTGTGGTGGCCTAAGGACTATAGCTTTGCAGCCCGACTGCTTGCTCATTCTGTAGTTTAGCATGCCAAATATATGATTGTTGAGTGTAATACATTGGCATAACTATCTCTTTTGTTTGTGTTGTTGAACCACCCAATGTGGGCTAAGTAATTACTAACTAGTCTCGACAAAAGGAAGGAATCAATGCATGAAATTATGGGTCCAACTGGGCCCAACATCGACTATATTTACAAAGTTGGGCCTAATATTGGGACAACAAACACCTAAAAGACCAAAAGCTCTTGATATTAATGAAGTATTCGACTATGATATGATTGTCAATCAGTATGAAAGGAAAAGCATTTTAAGAAATGATGACATAAGTAAGCGGAGTACCTTGGGAGAGAACATTCCGAAATCTCTCTGAGGAACGAGGCCATTAAAATTCCCCCCGCTAGCGGCTTCGATGTAGCTTCCATATCCTGTGATCCCAACAACCTCAATGAGGGACACCTCAACAGGATTTGGTGATGGTACAAATATTGCATTCATTGGGTTATCTGACATTCCTTGGCCCACCAAGGGCAGGTCCAAAACAACTGAAATGTTATGGGCCTTGAGGTGCTCTTTTGGGCCAACACCACTCAACATTAAAAGTTGTGGGCTTCCAAGTGCCCCAGATGATACAATAATCTCATTCTTTGGCCCATTCTTCAAATATGCTCTGTGCTTAATTCCTGACGCATCTCTAAAGACCACTCCTTGAGCTGTTGGCTTCTCTTTTCCTGTGTAGTTAGACCAATCATTAGCATTCAAGTCATGTTGATTGATCGAAACTCGAAGTGCACGTTTTTGGCATGTAGTATTAAACAAGACCAAACAGTATACTCAATAAGATTTTAGCTTAAACGTTCCATATCGAGCTCGTTAGTAATGTAAACTCTCAAATGTATGTAGGCGCACACGAGCATATCTCTTTAATGATCACAAATTTCAATCAATTGAGAGTGAACACTACTCACATGTTTGATAAGATTAAAAAAATATAATTAGAATATACTGTTCCATATTAAACATGCAAGATACATAACTCCTATTTGGCCTCCATTTTCTAGAACTTATTTTTTCTTCAAACTTACTTTCAATCATATATTTCATGAAACCCGCAAATTTTATCAACTTTTAACCACACATTTCATCATCTTTTATCAAATTTACTAAAAATCTGATTTTTAGCTAAATTACTCACCATTGATTCTGAACATGATCTTATGAACAGAAGCATGTAATAAGACAGTGAGACCATTAGGATTTGCGTATTCAAGAAGATCAGCTGCCGTGTGTCTATGCCCTTCAACGTCAAAAATTGTTCCACCAACCTTTGTACCAATCAAATGATCATATGTAAATCCATTGTAAGGAGTGACACCAGCCTCCAACAATCCATTTCTTACAGCAGATTGCCACTGTCTCATGGGAGGCTCAAATGCCACTTTCTTTTCCACCCACCTATAGGATTCATTCACCAGCAGCCCATCCCAGCCGGCGTCATCCACGTACAGTGGGGCGGCGCGTGTGTAAAATCCGGCATTCAGGCAGCTTCCGCCGCCTAGCACCCGGGCTCGGGCGTTTATCACGCCGTCCTCGGAGATGAAGCGTTGAGAAGGAGATGATGGAGAGAGGTCAGAAAGGGCTTCTCCAAATGCTTCTAGGTTGGTAATGTTAGGGTTGCCGTACGGAGAGCCGCCTCGTTCGAGGAGGAGTACGGTAGAGTTTTGAGAGAGAGTGGCGGCCAATGGGCAGCCGGCGGTGCCTCCACCAACTATAATGTAGTCATAATAGGATACTTCTGGAGCTGAGTTTGCTTCGTGCATGAAAGTGTATTTTGGTGCTGTAAACAAGAGGAAACATTGAAATTAATTACTTTTATTGTTGATAAATTTGAAATCTACATAATGAATTTTTTTATGCTGTATCGAATGTACTTTCTGATGTATTTATAGGAATAAAAAATAATTTTTTTTATTTGGAAAATATTTAGGATCATTTGGCAGGATTTTTTGTTTCTTATAAAAGGGCTTTTAGAGAATACCAACTTTCAATAAACTTCCAAATTAACCAAATATATTTAAAATTAATTTTTTTATTTATAGCTTAATATCCATAGCAGAAGTAGTTGCTTTATATTGATTATATGTCGGAGGAGTATCATAAAAATGGCCTTATATAGTGAAGAAATTTGATTTGTGCAGAATAATTCAAAGTCAAATTTGATGCTACAGTAAGATTATTTTAAAGGGTGAGTTATTAATGATTTCCAATCACTTAAAAGTTTCAACTTTTAGATAAATTATGCTAATTCATGCATTTCTCTCTCAATAGATCAAGTAATCAACACAAAGGAATGACACAGAAGGAACATTCATATAGTCTACCAGGAATGTTTGACGAAGCTTTTAAGAAAAATTATAGCAGATTATGATGAAAGTTGTAAATATTTTCATGAACTATAGAACTCAACTTGTTTTTTAACTACTTTTTCAGATTTCCGAGGCAAGCACTTCTATTAAGAATGTAAGTAAGAGAAATGCAAAAAAATGGGTAAACGCAGAGAAGTATCAGATTATAGCGCTTCTTACATTTAATCAAAATTTTGGTATAATTAACTTGCTATGAGCCGAAGGAAATTTGACAACAAAATGCAGAAACTGAAAGAAGAAACTGCATTTGAAATAAAGAAAAATAATACCAGGAAAAATAATTAGTTTGGTACCTTTTTCAGATAAACAAAAGCCATGAAACAGGAGAATTGCAGCAGTAAACAATCTCCAGAGCCCAAAACCCATCATTTTTGTCATAATCCTCATGCACTTATAATCTGCAAAAAATCACTTTTTTTTTCTTCAATGCGAAAACTTAATTATATCTGGCAAGAACAATGCTAAATCAGCTTAATCTTATATAAGAGTATTCTTGAAGGGGCCAACGATTTAGACGTCTATAAATTTTGACAGCAAAAAGATTACTTATGGGGTTTTTCTAGGCGATGAACACGTAGTGCAAGAGTGATGTGAATGTGTCTGAAAAACAGAAATAATTCAAGAAAATGCAAAAGTTGTGATATGAGGCTAAAGTTGTCCGAATTTAAGGATATGAAACAAGCCTAATATTGGTCTTCCCAGTTTGGCAGCTTTATTTATGGATTAAACTACTTGTACACATTTGGTGAAGTTTGTCACTTCATGTGTTGTCAAAATCTCTGTCATTGATTATTTAAAGTATTATTAAAATTAATGTATAAAAAAATTGACACCTCACAACAATGTCAATAAAAATGTACATATAACATGAACACCGTTCAGTTATTGGCTAATCACCTTTACATGGGCTCTTCTTCCATAGTATTATAATCATCTCGTCTAGAAATTCAATAACTGTTTAATTGAAAAACTTTCCGAAGGAGAATTTGATTGGTTATGTTTATACGATCAACCTTAATATGACTTGTTAGTTTTATGTTTTAAACTACGGTCAGGGTATTGAATGTCAAGGCTGATCGGCTTCAAGCCCAAATCTATTGTCTCGAGTTGAATGGTAAAAAACCCACAAGTACATGGTTTTTTCTTACAGAAACTTTACAGGTGCTATATTGACAGCACCTGATTCATAGTGATTTTTTTTAATTATTATTTTTTTTTGTGCTAACTGTCAATAAAACTACGCCAAGTGGAAGCCTGTAAAAATTATGTGAAAGTTTCTCTGTACGTGTAGCATTATTCATGAATGTCCTATTGACTGTCCCAACTGGATTGGACTCAATCCTTGCGCAAAATAAATTTCTTATTCTTTCAAAACATGGTAATTTCGAAATTTATCCATAATCGATCACTTCATCAAATTTCTTTCCGTATTTTCACATACGTTTTTGGGCTTTTAGCTTATAACCTAGTCGGTTTACTATGATTCTTATTTTATAGTCCAAGTTGCCGTTCCGACGTTGCTTATAGAACATTGATTATAGTTAATAATAATCTAAGGCCATGTTTGATTACTCCATTTTCCATCCAATTTGCCTTGTTTAATAGGGAATTTTTTTCTAGGTAACTTATTTTCCATCTTTCATGCACGTGACGAACTTTTCCATGAAAAATGAGGAAAACCAATTCCCTTGGGTGAGCTGGGAATTGATTTTCTTGGCTGCTGGCTTTTTTTTTTTTTTTTTTTTTCCATGAAAAATGAGGAAAACCAATTCCCTTGGGTGAGCTGGGAATTGATTTTCTTGGCTGCTGGCTTTTTTTTTGTTTTTTTTTTTTTTTTTTTTTTTTTTGGCAATAGTAACAAATTCTAAGAATTATTGTAAAAAAAATATTTCCTTTTAATTGACAATTTTCATGTAAAACAAAAACAAACGAACATAAAAAAATACTTTAATTTAAATATTTTCTACGTGAAAAATTATACCAATCAAACACAATAATTTACAATTTCTAGGAAAACAATTTCCCATCAATTCAATTATCTGAAATTCGTTTTCTTTCCATCTAAATTTCATTTTTGCAATCAAACGTACCATAATAAAATTTGAATCTTTTCACGAGATGTAACAGTTAATCGAAAGAGATAGAGACATAGAGTGAGTAGGAAAAAAAAATTAGGTAGTTGATATAAACAAGCATTTTAGGAGATATATCAAGTAATCAATTGGAGAAGAAAGAGTGAGTAAACAAAAAAATAATGATTTAGCCCTTGTCGGCTACAGCTGAAACGTTTTAATCTATCAAATTTTGATATATTTTATTGCATTTTTCCAATTAAAAAAAAATATGAACCTAGACTATGGACTTTAGAGTAAGATTGTATGATACAAATTGTCATATTTACCCTTCAAGGGCTTAGCATAATTACTGTTTGGCTACTCTCCATTCATTTCTCACCTAAACTCCTTTTTCAACCACTAGAAGGGCAAAATAGTCTTTTTAGGAAGCCGCTATTATTGACTTCTTCCGTGTACGTATGTTGCCACACGTAATTTGTTTTTAACATTGAATAAACAATTTGGGTCCCATATGATTTGATCGGAAAATCAAATTTTCCCCGTAAATAGCGCGCTCAAATATACGCTTAAATAAAAATCAAATTTTTAGCGAATTTTAATAAAAGTTGATGGAACGCACGTTTAAAAAATTGTAAATTTCAATAAATATTTTATTAAAATTAATTATAAATTCTGACTTGAATTTTAATTAAATATTTTAGTTGAACCAAACATGAGCTAAGTAGTCGATACAAAGAATACGTTGTAATCATATGCTTATATTTTCAACGCCTAATTGTGGATTAAGATCTGTATTTCTGTTTGATGTTACTTATTTGGATTTATTATTGTAATCATATGTTAAAATTTTCAAAGCCTAATTGTGTATTAATATGTGTGATGTTACGTGTTTGGACTTGGAACATTCATCGTGTTATCTTCAGAAAAATTAATTCATTTTTTTTCTTCTTCTTCTTCCCTATAATTCCTCGTTTTCTTATTTCTTTATTATTTTATTTTATTGCTTTAACTTGTAGTTTTAGATTTTGAACTCATAATCCCTATTCTACTTCCTACCTCCAAGTAACATCACCTGAATTTTTGAACCCACTAATTTTTCTTTGCTTTTTTTTTTTTTTTTTTTTTTCTCCCAACAATTTTAATTGAATCTGCTGGCAATCAGGTGGACATAAGTAGAATTTAGCGATATTCAACCACTAGAATTAAATTGTATTTATTTAATTTTGGGACCCAATAAGATCATAAATTCATCTAGGTTGGATTTTGAAGGCAACCTACGTATTCAGTACATTAATGGTACGCAACTAAAATGACTAATTGATATAATAATATGATTATCATTGCCTATTTAGATTTTAATTGCACGATACCTTGTAGATAATTAACGTTATACTGAAAGACGATCAACATCGACTATACAGAAATATTAACTCAATAAACTTTAAAACAATTTAAAATAGTCGAGTATTCATGTATCACATAGAATGTCACATTTTGCACTCAACAATCTCAACAACGATTCAAATTTTTCGAGCGCTCATCTTCTTTATTTTTATTCTCACGTAAAGCTTGCCTCGTAAAGCACATTCTCTAGTTCTGGCCGGCCCTAGCGCGTGCCTCGACTGTGCCAAATCCATGTCGGCCGCACCACCATGGACTGTCCAACATAGATTTAGACATCGACCTCATATCTGCAACGTATAAGCTTCAGAGGCCAAAATACATTACAATATCCATACCACTTCAATCCAATTACTAAACAAAACTCCAAGAAAGTTAACAGATTGACCTATATCCATATAACCATATTTGATCATTTTTGTTAACGGATTATCGAATTCGAATCTTGATTGAGTTATCGAATTGGGACCCTAAATCTATATCCCATTAATTTCATCTCATTCAGATTGAATTCGAATCAAAATTCAATCCATTGATAGCCCTACGCACCACCATGGGTGGTCCAACATAGATTTACACATCGACCGTCATATCTGCAACATAAGCTTTAGAGGCCAAAATACAGAACAATATCCATACCACTTCAATCCAATTAACAGAATTCCAAGAAAGTTATGTTGAAAGTAGTATTTGCTGTACATGTATCATTAAAGAGCTTGAAATATATTGGGAGCTATGAGAAGCATGTATTGCCTATGTAATTTAAAGCACTCACATACAAGCCGGGACTAAAGCTTCGATAAACGAGAAAGAATGCACAAAAATGCCGATCAGTTCGAAGTTTAGGACAGGAAGATTAGAGTCGGAATCAGTAGAGAGAATTGTAAGTGCTGCAGGTGGCGATGATAGACGCTACACAAATCAGGAGGGATGGAAGAAGGGTGGCATTCAAGAGCTTGCTCTCCCCCAGGTACCCGGCTAGGGTGATTGTTCCGTCTGCGACCACTCGGGCAAGAGTACCAGCTTCAGTTGACAGAAGCCCGCCGTTGTACGTCCCATGAGAAAGCCTGAACGACATTACTCGGGATAGGAGTGACAAGTTGACCCCTGAAGTGAAAAAAGATGACACCACGAAATCAAAATTGATATACAGATACAGTGTCAATCACAATTTGTCATTTTTCCATACCAATTTCACGAATCAAACCTTGCCTATAACTCATCAGTAAGATCATTTTACGGCCAAACTTTACATGGGGGAGACGAGTGACAAACTGACCCCCGGAATGATGAGTATATCATGTCATGAAATTCAAAAGTATCGAGACATTATACAACCAATCCCACTGCCCAAATAAATGTATTTAGATCATCAATTTCAAGAATCGAACCTTGTATAATTAAATGAATACTATAATCTTATGGTCAACTATTGTTGCTTTAACTTGTAGTTTTAGATTTTGAACTCATAATCCCTATTCTACTTCCTACCTCCAAGTAACATCACCTGAATTTTTGAACCCACTATTTTTTTTTTGCTTTTTTTTTTTTTTTTTTTCTCCCAACAATTTTAATTGAATCTGCTGGCAATCAGGTGGACATAAGTAGAATTTAGCGATATTCAACCACTAGAATTAAATTGTATTTATTTAATTTTGGGACCCAATAAGATCATAAATTCATCTAGGTTGGATTTTGAAGGCAACCTACGTATTCAGTACATTAATGGTACGCAACTAAAATGACTAATTGATATGATAATATGATTATCATTGCCTATTTAGATTTTAATTGCACGATACCTTGTAGATAATTAACGTTATACTGAAAGACGATCAACATCGACTATACAGAAATATTAACTCAATAAACTTTAAAACAATTTAAAATAGTCGAGTATTCATGTATCACATAGAATGTCACATTTTTGCACTCAACAATCTCAACAACGATTCAAATTTTTCGAGCGCTCATCTTCTTTATTTTTATTCTCACGTAAAGCTTGCCTCGTAAAGCACATTCTCTAGCTCTGGCCGGCCCTAGCGCGTGCCTCGACTGTGCCAAATCCATGTCGGCCGCACCACCATGGACTGTCCAACATAGATTTAGACATCGACCTCGTATCTGCAACGTATAAGCTTCAGAGGCCAAAATACATAACAATATCCATACCACTTCAATCCAATTACTAAACAAAACTCCAAGAAAGTTAACAGATTGACCTATATCCATATAACCATATTTGATCATTTTTGTTAACGGATTATCGAATTCGAATCTTGATTGAGTTATCGAATTGAGACCCTAAATCTATATCCCATTAATTTCATCTCATTCAGATTGAATTCGAATCAAAATTCAATCCATTGATAGCCCTACGCACCACCATGGGTGGTCCAACATAGATTTACACATCGACCGTCATATCTGCAACATAAGCTTTAGAGGCCAAAATACAGAACAATATCCATACCACTTCAATCCAATTAACAGAATTCCAAGAAAGTTATGTTGAAAGTAGTATTTGCTGTACATGTATCATTAAAGAGCTTGAAATATATTGGGAGCTATGAGAAGCATGTATTGCCTATGTAATTTAAAGCACTCACATACAAGCCGGGACTAAAGCTTCGATAAACGAGAAAGAATGCACAAAAATGCCGATCAGTTCGAAGTTTAGGACAGGAAGATTAGAGTCGGAATCAGTAGAGAGAATTGTAAGTGCTGCAGGTGGCGATGATAGACGCTACACAAATCAGGAGGGATGGAAGAAGGGTGGCATTCAAGAGCTTGCTCTCCCCCAGGTACCCGGCTAGGGTGATTGTTCCGTCTGCGACCACTCGGGCAAGAGTACCAGCTTCAGTTGACAGAAGCCCGCCGTTGTACGTCCCATGAGAAAGCCTGAACGACATTACTCGGGATAGGAGTGACAAGTTGACCCCTGAAGTGAAAAAAGATGACACCACGAAATCAAAATTGATATACAGATACAGTGTCAATCACAATTTGTCATTTTTCCATACCAATTTCACGAATCAAACCTTGCCTATAACTCATCAGTAAGATCATTTTACGGCCAAACTTTACATGGGGGAGACGAGTGACAAACTGACCCCCGGAATGATGAGTATATCATGTCATGAAATTCAAAAGTATCGAGACATTATACAACCAATCCCACTGCCCAAATAAATGTATTTAGATCATCAATTTCAAGAATCGAACCTTGTATAATTAAATGAATACTATAATCTTATGGTCAACTATTGTTGACGTGGAAAAATTTTGCAAATTTTTGTAAAATGCCCTTTCTCCAAAGTCAAATTGAAATAGATTGCAAGCTTATGCAAATGACATACTTTACTAGTTCAATCACTCAACGAGAAATAAAATAGTCACTAAATGAATCATTAAGGTCAAAGGTAGTGCAATCAAGGAAACCTACAACCATGTGGCCTAATAATCCTACCAACCCAGAAACAGATAGCCACTCAAAATGCAACAGATTATCGTATTCTTCTTGCTTAATAATCCCAAGAGTCATTTTGTTACATTAAGATTGAGAAAGAGTAAGCAAGGTCTTAGTCATACGTCATTTCTCTACTGAAGGAAGTGGATCCACACAAAGATTGTGAACTAAGGTTTGAACCAATAATTCATGAGCAATTCCAGAACCAAAAGAATCAATCCACAAAGTTATCTATACGCACATATATCTGTGTATTTCCATCAGAGACATCTCTTCAACGCTAGAAGAGCTAGTGCTTCCATCGATGCTTCTATATAGTGTTAAACATGCAAGTCTTAGTTATTGAACATAGGAAGGTTACCTTCCAATACTTCAGCCGATACAAACATTATGAGCCCTGAAGAGACATATTGTGGCACAGAGTACGGGATAAATATGTGAAAGCTGAGGAGTATCCCCAGCAAGACCATAATTTCTGATGCCACTAAAATCTGCCTGTAAAAAAACGGATGAAATGATAAAATTGATCAGTATGTTGAGACGAAAGAGATTCCAGATGAAAGGAACTTGCTAGCAGTTACCATAAGGTAGAGTTGCGATCTTGAGTATTCTATAGTTTTTTCATCAAGCAATAAGCGGGAAAGGACTTCAAATGGCATTATAAAGTCATCAAATTTTAGCAGCAGATTAAAGCCATTCATTTGTCAAAGCAGAAAATAAGTATTTTGAGAGTAAAGTCTAAGTAAATTTCTTAATTACAAGTAATAAAAATACTTATAAGCACTTGGAGATAATCATGGCATGAGAAAGTCAAGCCCTGATCAATTTTCTGTCTATAAATTAGATGTTTCTGAGCCTGGAAAAATCAAAAGGAAATTACCTGTCTTCGAATATATTGCTTATATAGCTTCCAACAACAAAATTTACAGGCAGAACTGTTAGGCCAAGGCATGCAAGAAAAATTGACACCCTGCTTGTAGTCCAGCCAAAATAGTACGTCGTGATAACACTTGATTCCGAAAGTAGAATCTCCATTGCATATTTAAGCATAAAGTAGATCAACAATTGAACCTAAAGACACCATAGAATCCTTCACGAGGTTAGGTGAATATAGCCTTGTAGAGCCTAATTTGGAAAATAGATAATATTATTGTATAGCAAGTAGAAATTTCTTGCCATTAACAAAATGGTACCAACCTAATCAGTGTGCACTTATGATAATTACATTATGCACTTATTAAAAACACAATCTCATGAATATCAACTAAATGGGGATAATTTGGTAGCAGCACAAGTGCATGCGGAAATCTTTGATTCAAGATAAATAAGATTATGCCCAGCTTTTTATCCTCTTCTATCTCTAAAAGACAGCCTGGACTATGAATCATATAGTTCAAGCTCCAAGCCATGGGAAGAAACAGACATCTACAAACATAAATGTGAAGAATGACCTTTGATTATGAAGTCACTAATTTTTATTTTATATTTTATTTTATTTAAAAAAAAAAAAAAAAAAAACTTCCCACTACTATTATTTCCAACTTCAAAAAACGCAAGTAAAATTTGAAAAGGCATACCTTTATAGAAGGTGTAAGTAATCGATAGGCTGATGCTAGGGAGTTTGCTGGCCGACGAGATTCCTCTGAAGCCTCTTCATTCTCGTCACATTCTCGATCATCTTCCTCATTTTGTTCATTCTTGGCAGTTGGTAAAAGCAATGGTTGCGCAAGACCCTTCTCAAGATTATCATTTCCTACTGTCATCCACGGACATGACATCAAATTCCAATCTGATTTGTGATATTGCAATTTAGATATAATATTGATAAATGAAGCTTGAATATTTCAAGACCTATGTACAAATAATATTGGTAAGATTAATGATGCTGGATCATATCTAAATCATAAAAGCAACATAGTGTGTCAAAATATTCTAATTTTATGTATCCGCACATTGAGTATTAAAACAAATGTCAAAGTATATATGAATGTGTTCATCCCCAAATCATTCATCAAAGATCAACACAATGGCGACACCAGCACTATGATACTAGATTAAGATTTTAATTTAGAAGCAAAAAGTTCCATGTAATCAACATGTACATTATATCGCATATCATTGATCAGTTAAATCAGTTTATACTATTCATCCAATTATAATATAGTCTATCGTTTGCCTTAAGTACAAATTTTATTTTAATTACATGTAACTGAATTTTCGATTACTTATTTCTACATCTCCAGTTTCTCGGACACTATTTACCAAAAATAATATACCATCTATTATTCAAATTTAAGAAACAGAAGACAACAGAAAGATAGGCATTGTGAGCTGCAGGATAAGATAAAAATACCAGCATTAGCTTCCTCTGTAATGTTGATAACTACAGCCTCATGAGCAGGTTCTCTAAACGAGATCCACAACCATATTAAATAGAAAAACCATGCCAGGGCCATTACCCAGCCTGGCAAAGTGTCTTGATTAAATGTGATATTGTAAATCCTGAACTTTGTCTGAAGTAGCCCAGCAAGTGCAGGACCACAAGCCACTCCAAAAGCACTAGCACTAACAAAACCTGCTGAAGCCTGCATGCGGATTTTAACTGGTGCACAATCGCTAATATAACGCCTGTTAACTGCTCTGGCAGAACCAAAACTGCAAGTCCATAAAAAGGGGAAATCCATACAGTCAGAGCATATCCAAGTGCAATCATATTTTCAAGACAAGGAACTGCTTCCAGCGTGCCTGCGCATAGATGTGTGTGCATGGACGGCTAAGTAAACAGATAATGCATGTAGAAACAATAATATAAAAGCTTCTTAATCAAAATTGAATATCATCATCCTAACTCAATATTTGCCTTGGCTCTATTTAAAGCATGCCCCCTATAACTTGGAGTAGCTTGCATAGATGAAAATAGTATGACTGCATCAACTCTAAATACTACATCTGCACGTCAATAATTTAAAAAAATTCAAAAAGATGGAGTTTTCAGGCATAGAATTCTGAAACCCTTCACCTCTATTATAATTTTGAGACCAAATCAAGTAGCACGTTTTGACACCAGTTCATGGAAAATAGTTAGGTAAAATTCTACAAGGAAATTTGATTCTTTAAAACACTGGTTAATTATTTGAATAATCGAAACCAGCATTTCATTCATATGATTTCAATTATAAGAAAGTCAACAAGTTGACAGCATAAATTAAATAGAATAATTCAGCTATATAAAACACATTCATTTATACTAAACTAGATCTTTCTACAATAGCTGCAACCAATATTTCTCAACAAGTCTAAGTGCAACAACAATAGAAATGTTCGGAATTTTTTTGCTAAGTTTTTTTATCAAGGAGACACAGGAAAATTGCCCTGCATGTCAGATCAGGCATGGAAATGCACTAATGCATACTGATAAAGGCAAAGAGGGAGATAGTTAACTACCCACATAAAAGTCGACCAATCAAAAGAATTGCTAGTGAGTTGAGATCATATGCCAATGCATACATGACATTTCCCATGAAAAGAACTATACTGCTAAATACCAGAGGTCTGAAGTATGACTTGTTGGACCAAGCACTGAAATATACAGAAGAAAATATCTGTGCTATGGCCATCGCCCCAATTACAATACCACAAACTGTTGCGGCTGCCCCAAGGCTCATAGAATAGTCATCTGCAGTCGGAACAATAACATACGTATTGACCATATATAGAAATGTGTTCGCCAAGTTCAAAAGAAGTGACATAAAATGGTATCTCTGATCATCGATGTGTTCCTCAGCAGTAGTAGGCAACTCTTCTTGCATAATAAACACATGTTGTCCCAAAAAGTGAAGGAAGTTTGTTGAATGGGTTAGTCTGTCGACAGCTGATTTTATCGAGTCAACAACAGGATCCTGCAGGCCAACTCAAAATTAATAAGCATAGAACAGAGTATTTTCAAGAAATTTGAATTTATCTAAAGAAAACTGGGAAAAAAAAAAGGTAACAAAGGATTGCTTGAAAGATGTATAAAGATAGAGATAAGCTAATTAAAATATTATACGAGAAAAATACCTGTAGGGGAAGCGCAGGATGGTCATATATTGATAAGTAGCTTCCATGTCGGTCCTGGAGTTTTGCAAGATTGCGAGATATAGCTCCAATAACAGCTCCTAATCCCTGAAAGTACCAGTCTTGTCAGTTATTATCTTTTCCACTTTTCTTATGTGGTAGCAGGTATTCTAATTGATAAGCTTGACCGTGTGATAAATGATGGTGAGATAAAAGTGGTATCATAAGAAGAACAAGAAACGGAAGTGGAATCTGTCCCCATTTAAGCATATTACCACGTGTTTGAATACTTGCTGAAGCTGAGAATAAGGATGATTAGCCCGAGTTTTGACATAGTAATCAGTGAATCTATATCCAAACCGCTTGTCAAACTTCTTAAGGATCTTTCTCAGACCAATGGCGTTCATTTCAACAAAATGGAGAAGCTTTAAAAGGTCAAGTCCAACTGCTCTATAAGCTTCTCGAAGCTCGGATATTTTCAATGTGTCAGGATGTTCCTGAAGAAAATCTTGCTGTTCATTAAGCTGGGCAATCCTGCTCGCAAGTAGTCCTTGTTGTTCCAAGATAAAAAGAACTATTTTTTCAATCTGCAATATAAAGAAACTTATTTTCGGGACTGAAGATTACAAATCCATGATTTTTTTTCCGACCTTTCATACATCTGTAACATACCTGATTATCCAGCATCCACGAGAAATCCTTGAGAACCTGTTGCCGATCTAGTGCTCCAGCTTCAATTTGGTTAGCATGCTGCTTCACTTTTTTCTTCATTAACTTATAGTTGATGTAGTATCTAAATTTACAAAAAATGAATGAGGAAAATGTGTGCATGACTAATGAGATCTTGAACATTCTGATACAGTGTGATTACACAGTGTCATAACTTAAGGGATTTCTACTATCCCCCAACTAAAAAACATGTCAATCGATTAATTTATTTAACCATTTTATAGTTATCAACTGAGAAGCTTCAACTGTAATGAATCCTAGCTTGCTCAGGTGGGGAATATGTTCCCAAGAGAGAAAATTTTTAAAAAGTAAAACAATATAAAATTGAACAGGAAACAAGTATATTATGCATACCCTTGCCATTCTTGAATTTGTCTTTCCTTCAACTTTTTCCCAAAAGCTACCATCTTAATCTGCAGGACAGAGAAACAAAATCAAAATAGATAAGACGAGACAATGCAAGCTTAGAAGATACTTAAAATCCAAACGGATTATTCGTTCTATAACTTGTGAAAATTAATAGATGCATTGTAATCGGAGAAAGAACTAATCAAATTTGACTGATATCATTTGTGCCAGCGATTTTTGCTGAATAAAGATACCTCTCTGAATTTGTCATACTCAACTGGGAAAATGAAGATTTTTTTGAAGTACATCAAGCCTTCTTCGTATTTTAACTTGTATGAACTCTCTACATATGCAAATTATGCACCACCACAACCAATTGTTATCCAAAATTAAAAGAAGTCAACATATTTTTATTAGAAATAAATAAACGAAACTTTCCTGCATCCAAATCATTGGGTACGTAAAAGATTTTATGCACATTAAAGCAGCCATGAAAATAGAATCCAATGGTTAATTTGATTCTACAAAAACAGCTAAAAATAGCCAAGTTTTTTCAAACAAACAAAGAATTCTGAATCACAAAATCAAGAATTTCTGACCGACCCAAATTTTTTTCGTAAATGATGAATTAATCACTGTAATTCCAATGGCGGTGCCTTGTACATATGTGTTTGTATGTCATGGTAGAGGGAAGAAGATAGAGAACATAAAGTAGTTCGCGAAGCTGCAGCAGGTTCGAGGTTGGAAGTGGGACTTGGGAGTATTTCGCGATAATCATCAATGATTTTCGGGATTCGCAAAATATAGTGCATGTTTGGCAATGTTTAAAACAATCACTTTTACGTAAAGTTGTTTTCAGATGAATAACTTTCGTGCTGGTAAAAGATGCGTGGTTTAAAATAATTAAGTTAAATAACTTTTTGGCATGAATTTTTAACTTTTAAGCTTTTATGTGTTTTAAGGAATGTTGATTAAAATGTAGATAAAATTTGCAGATCCTAAAAAATGTATAATTAAAAAAATGATGTTTGATAAACTTTTAATCACTTAGCGCATGTTTGAGCGTGCTTATAAGTATTGGAGTGAACTATTTTTCTTGGCTCACTAAATAAATAGTAGATCTCACGAAATAAGTGTATGCAGATCATGAGCACTATGCATAGTACAGCACCAACTCTAGGCTCAACCTCTATCGCTACTGTGTTTGAAATCTATGTACTCTAGATGGTCATGTGTCATGACGAGCCTGAATGGAAGATTAAAAATATAAAATAAATTGTTCAAATGTATATAAAATTGATGTGGCACATCAATTTACAACTAAACTTCTGTTTAGTATCGATTATTTTTATAAAAAAATAAAATTCAAATTTAATTTATTCTTTCAATATAATAATTTTACATGAACTTGTACCTTTTCTCTACTTTTTAATACACTCTTCACAAAATGCATTCTTGAAAAATCTACATCTGGCAATACATTTGTGTGCATATATGAGATAAGATTTAGGTAAAAAGGGTGGTGAGATTGCCAAGACACTGTCCCAAAAAGGATCCAAATCGTTGTGTTACTGTCACATGCATCACTGTCCAAAATATCAACAATTAACCTCAAAATATATATAAAGAAAACATATTGATTTCGGTAAAACGATGATTCAATTTAAGACTAGTATCGTCATGAGGACTCGGTTTTGGAACGTCATGTCGCCATATTGGGTGTTTTTTTAAATGAACATTTGGATCTTGGCCTTATTTTATTTTGTTTCATAGATCAGTCATATTTTTAAACAAAAAAGTGATACCAGAACATGATAAAATATAAAATAGAATCGAATTAACTCCTATAGTTCTCGTGTTGTCATGTGTGCCTTCCCATAACACGATCTCGAATTTAATCATTGGATGGTTAAGTTTAGAAAATTTTGATTACAACGATGCTAAATTTCTATCATTTAGTTCGTGTTTGGCTAAACTTTTAAGTTAACTTATTAGTAAATGCATAAATTTTGAAAAATAAATGATTTCTAGTGATTAAATTGAATTATATAAGTATCTTATTAAGAAAGCAAGTCACACCTTACATTAATAGAATAACTGAAATAAAATACTTAATTCTTTTTGGTTGCAGTGTACTACAACAAAACAGAACCTTTATTATATATATACACACGTTGGCTGATAAAGCTTGTTTGGCATATATTATTTTGTCCAACTTACATTTTAGAAATAATTAATAAGGAAACTTTCTTTTAAGCATTGTATAATTTACCATACCAAACAAATCAATGGCATTAAAATAAAATTAAAAAAAAAAAACACTCACGGAAACGAGAATACATGGAGATAACTTAGCAGTCAACTTGGGGAAGATAAAAAATATTTGAAACTTGATGAGTATAAGAGATTGTCCTTTCACACATTGTCTATTGTATATCTAAGGATTTCCACAAACTCTACAAAATAAAGGCTATCTTCCTAACTATTAAATAAGAGAGAGCCTACTCCAGTCAATCAGCCTCCTTACACTTCGGAGAAACAAGCGAATTTTCACTAATAACAATTCCTAATCGGCGCATTCAAGCAGTACAACACAACGAAATGGGTATCACTCGTAAACTCCATCATGCTCAGTCAATAGGGGCGTATTCATTTATGATAGCTGCCAATTTATTCCGATCGTCCTCAGTCTTAGTTCTCATCAAGAAGGTCCGTGCAACAACTTCGTTGTTGTCATCGCCATCACTCTGTAAAATCCAAGTAAAATAGTCCCTCATAAAGTGATTATATGTAGATCAAAAAAGCTTTTGCAAAAATTTCTAACAGAAATCCCAAACAATCTTTCGCAACAGCCAATCTGGCAAAGCTTAAGCCTCCATTTGGCAAATTTATAAATAATTTATAAGCAGAAATAGTAAAGGATCCCATGAAGTGTGTTGATAATAATGAATAATAGTTATGAATGTGTGGTCTAAACTAATATTTGACTTTGACTAAATTTAAAAACCAATTTATAAATTGTATCCAAAGAGGAGGCTAAAATAAGTAAAGGGCTTGTTTTGCATGGCTTTTTAAAAGCTCTAAACTGCTTCTGAAACTAAGAAGCTGCTTTTAAATGTTTAAATAATTTTCATAGAGCGATTTGTTTGGATAGAAGAGATTTAAAAAAAAAAAGCTGATCCAAGATGAATTCCTCGTGAAGCTCTTCTACAAAAAGTATAATGAGAAGCCAATTGTACAAAGTTTCAAATAAGTGATGGCAAGGTCAAAGTTACTCTAGAAATAACCAAGTTTTTTTTACAAGAAGGAAAGAAAAAAGTAATTGTCAAAACATGTTAAAAATATTGAAAATATAAAGTTACTTGAATAAAACTTCTACTTCATTTTACGCATAACGAAACATATCCTTTGCTCTAGAGACAAGTAGAAGTGCTTCCATTATTCAAAGAAATAAAAGAACAGAACAGAGAGAGGATGTATACCGAATGAAATATTGCAACGACGGCATTCTTTTGCATGTTCGTCTTGATGCCTGGATATAACAATGCATTGAGCAACACTTTTCCGACCTGCAACGAGTGAATGATACAAAAAAATATTAAAATGCACCCAAGAGCTGCCATTACTTTTTTCCTTAGCATGCATAAAATGTGCGAGAAAATCCCAAAAAGATTTGTCTTCGGATGAAATTTTTTTTTTCCCACAGGTTAAGATCCAATTAATCTGCTATCCATCACAATGATAAAATACCCGATAACCAAAGAATAGAGCAAAACACGTTCCTTAACACACAAGTGAGCTGAAGTCTAGTGTGGGACCGAAATGTATCATCAGGAGACCTACATCATTACGTATAATGATGGTTGGTTTAGATTCTCTCGTCCCCTTCCCCACGCCTTCCTTACATTTGATACAAAGTTGACCTGTGCCTTTGTCTTTCCAAGCATCTTTGTCCGCTGGATCACTGGACTGGACACATGGAAAAAGTAAGTATAAGATTAATGCACTAAAAAGAAAAAACACCATGAAACGGGTTTAGCGTCTAAAGACATCAATCACACAATAAAACTTAACAACCAATCACCATGAATTTAGAATATCAAATACACTATGTTATAACTGAAATATCTATTCCTACAGATGGGAACTTCGATATGTGGAGCTTAATTATACTGCAAACTTGCCCTTTGACAACTGTTCAACTTCGTGGTACTTCCTAACCCACCCCCCGGTTGCGCGGGGGGGGGGGGGGGGGGTG